AGAAAATAATTTGAATTTTTGAAATCAAATAACTTCGGCGCAAAAGCTCGAATATGAAGGAAGTTATAGCCCTAGAAAGAGGAAGGTAAAATTGTAGTGCAATTTTATTTCTTGCTAATAACTTATTCATTTCAAATTGTTTGAGAACAAATGAGCTTTACTTAGAAAGGCTGAGCCTCGTGATCCAAAATCCACCTCCATCTTCCGAAGTACCTGAAATTATGCAAAGAAAAATCCTCGTTTGTCGCCTGCTCCCGGTCAGCAAACGCGCTCCATTGTCGGACGTTAATGGCGCGAATCACCACTTTTAACCGCGACCAACATCGCCAACACCGCAATCCTTTGTTTCATTCATTTATTTGGACTCTTTTCCAAAAGAAAAAAAGTGCGGTGTTTTATTCAGTTATTTGAATTTTTTTTCAGGAAGAGAGTATAGCAGTATTTTGAAATTCTTTAACATCAATACCGAAGATTTCAATAAAAAATTGGTGCCATACATTGTCTGCAAAGAAGTATTACATACAGGAGGATCCTATCAAAACGCCCATGAAGGGGGGAGGGGTCGTAAAAACTTCCAAAGAGTACCAACGGTAGGGTTCACTTCGATTCGAGGCAGGAACGCTTTTGATGTCGAAAGAGAAAAAATCTACAAACTTCCAATTTTCATTATACTTCACGTAATTTCAGTAAAAATCCTCTTATAACCATTAGATAACCTCTGAGATTGAATATTACTGAAACTTCTTTGTGTTATCCATGTTTTTGTTTATTCATGACACAAAATCACAAAATGTGAGGTGAGGCAGCGGCACTCGCAAAATGGCGTTCGTCCTATGCGACCAAAAAGCGAAAAAGGGCGCCGTCGTGGATGTATAAACTGGTTGAAGCAATTCCATACTAATACTCTTATCGCACCACTGCTGCGTTGCGGGGGCAAAATGATTGCAGGGCAATGACCACCATGGTACAGCATTAATACTTGCAACAAATCCTGGATTTAATCTTACGTCTTTCATACGGTAGCATGAATAAATGAAGTTTAGATTAACATGAATATAGGAGAGTAACTGCATGTTTGAAAACTTCGGAGCTTTGAAGGTGAAAGAACTGTGTATCGACGACCTCAAGTTTCTATCACGTGCTTTGCGGATCAAAATTTCAAATTGATTCCCGCTCAGCTGAACCACGCATTTTATCGCTCCGGGGCAAGTGTATTGGTATAAGTGTGGTCCCACAAGATCAAAGCGCCAACATAAAAATGCATCAGTGACCATCAGAACAGTTTATGCAGAAGTATTCCTGTTAGAAATCCGGATGGAAGCAGAAAGCGTGGCGCACGCATTACCGAATCTTTCACCCTTTCTCGTTACCCGACGCTTATCTTCAACCATTCCAACGTTCTAAAATATCACCACTTTTACTCCTTTTTTTGAAATTTCGAAGGAGCACTGTTTCGAAAAAAGAAGATAAAGACTCTATTTCGAACAACAAATCATCTCTGATGGAGAAAAGAAAGAAAACGTCGAAAAGTGCACATAAGGTGTTAGTGAGGGTGTGACAGGTTAACATGGAGCGCTCAAACGATGGAGATAATGATAAGGCAGCCTACGGGTGCTAAATTCAAGATGAAAAGAAAAAAAGAGGAAATCAGACTTTCAACAAACTCGACAAGGGGTTTTCAAAAGAAATTACTCGTATAGAATCTGCTAGATATGCTTCAAAAAGAAACCATAGGAAAACCGAAAGCGCACCACTGTAGTGCCGGCCTCCTCCGCTTCCTCAACAGTTTCGTCGTCAACAACCGTCAAGTCAAGGTCGTCGCCAAAACCGTAGTCATCAGAGAGGTCGTTGAGTCGAATTGATGCAAAACTCAACTTCCTTGAACGGTCCTCCATTCACCTATGGGAAATTGATAAGGGAGTGCCACATTTTAGGATAGCCTAAGTGAAATGCTTCCTAAGATTGATCAAATATATATGAGGGTTCTTAGGCGGGATGTAGCAATCATTTGTGGTCTACGATAATTAGCGTAGACGATTCCGGTCTCGTGATGGAGCGCATGGAAGCAGACGTAAAGCTTAAAGTCTGTGAACTCAAGGTAGGACCTTATGACATTTCGGAACGTTAGTGAAATGACTTCTACCCTCGTCTCGAGTAGGTAAAAAAACCAACGTTTCAAAAGGATAAAAGGAAAAGGGTAAGCGAATGTAATCGTGCATGCGGTTTCATTCTTTTGTTTCCCCCATTTCTTCTAGTGAGCCTCAATTAAAACCAAGAGTGTGTCGTAGAATCTGCAAAGGGGAAAGAGTCGCATTTGTCAAGTGAAGGAGAGAAGTGTCGTAATGGGCACAATCGGCAGTTTTAAGGCTAAGTTCACTATTAAGTGTCTCCAGATATTAATTGCCACGAAAGTTCCTGGGCTTTGATGAAAACAGTTCATTGCAGTGAGAGACAGAGAGAGGATGCGGGAAGGAAGAGGAGTTGGAGAAAGGAGCGTGTCCAAGAAAGTTTTACAGTTTCTTGCTTCGTCCAGGCTCCAACACGATCCGGCGCATCCATATCAATTCTGGCGCATGTTTGCTATTGCCCTGATCGGCAAATGGTCGAAGCGCATCATCAACAAACAGAGCCAAACGGACGCGAACATGCACGTTGGTTCGGTACGTGATACACCCCGCGCAAGTATCGGTGCGTCAGACCTCTATCAGAACGTGCAGAACATGCAAGGAAAAAAGAAAACATTCTGTACTTAGACGCACCTCAACCTTTTCCTCCACTCCAGCACGTGGCGTCTTGGATATTGTACAGATTCTGTAGGAACCTTTTGAAACTGCGTTCTCCAAACCACAATCGATTATCCTTCAAATTCTGTGCACTGAATGAATGAAGCTTAATGATATTGAAGGATACGCTATGGCGCCCCAAACGGTTGCCGAGTCAATCCTGAAAGTATGAGAAGTGCAGTGATGATTATGATGGTGTCACAAACATGAACTTTCCACTTCGAAGCTTCCAATGTTTTGTCATATTTAAAACCCATTTCAAAACTG